CATTTTATGTTCTCTGTTCTGGTTGTTTTCTGACAGGAGGAACTGCATGGAATATAATGCCCATCCCTTAAAATTCGTGATAGTGCATGTCCAACTCAAACAGAAATATACAGTGAACGTCTGCCTACTCTGTAATGAGGATGTAGAAGAATTGTTTTCAAAAGTTTATAATCTAATCAAATTTGGTCATGTTATCAGAACAACAGTGAATACAGAAACCAACCTGTTGGCAACCTTCATAAACTCCATAAACTGGAGACTGTGGAACCTTAGAGTAATGTAAGTCTGTGAATTGTCTTTAATATAGGTGAATCTGAATTATTTCCTGCTTATTATCCATTAAAAGAGATAGAATAAAATACCACAAAATAATCAGGTTTAAGAAGAAATATGAATGGGAGAATTTTATTTCAAAAATTATGAAAACTGAATCTAGAATGCAACAGTGGAAGTGAGGCAAATATCAGTTTATGCTGTCAGATGTGGATATAATCAGTAATTCTACAGACTCCTGAAAAGTTCAGAAAAAATTATTGCAATATCAGAACTACTGTTTATTTCTCATCTGATGTGAGAAACCCTTTTTAAGACTCCTCTAAATTTTGAGCTATGAAAACTGCAGTATAAATCTAGAAGGAATTGGTTTCTCTAATCTCTTAGATTCCTTTTACATCAGGAAAATTACATAAATAACGGGATTTACTCTTTTCTAAAACTCTGGTGTCAGTTTGGCATTAGACACTCGCTTTCTACCTACAAAGCCCTAACAATTAGCAATTTTTGAAATTACATGTATGAAATGAAAAAAAAAAGTTATAATCTCCAAGACCCTTACACTTGATACTTTAAAACGTACATATAAATACGTCAATTCTGAGGTTTGTAAACAGTCAGGAAGAAGCCAGTTCTGAAGAAAAATGTTTTTCAGGTTGAGAGACAAGAAAGTTTGAAAGTTGCTAGGAAAGTTTCTGCTAACCATATTACAGCTAACAAAGTCACATAAGAATTCATTTAAAGTTCAACACTTTTTCATTGCTTAATTTTCATGCTTCTGTAAGACAAAACAACAAAGTGCTCAACATTTGTTTTTACAGTAGAAAACATCAAAGAACTCGACACAGTTAAGGACTAATCTCAGCTCAGAGAGGCTTCTGTACTTCCTAAAGTGGACTATCAGATTCCACTTTTATAGTTTCATTATACTGAAATTCTCATCTTCAAAGAGTGAAATGGGAAAATGGTAGGCACCTCTGGGTTTTAAGAGCTCTGAAGAATAGGAAAACCTGCATGAGGCAATCAGATACCTAGGGAACCGCGAAGCTTGCATCTCCTCTGGGCAGCGGGAACCAAAAGCAGCTGTTAAGTCTGACAAATTCTTAAATGTTTTATTATTTTTTTTTTTTTAAAGCTCACAGAAGTAAACCAGCTTAGTGCTTAGCAGATTAGTGCTTCAATGCCTGCTTAATCATTTGCTGCGCATAACGTTTCTGAATGTTGCAGTGCTAAACTGGCTAAGCTCTAAAGACAGTTTACATAATCAAGCATTAAACTTCAAATAGATAAGCAAGGTCATTGCTGCCCCTAGCGCCATGAACAGCTCCTGAACACTGTAAGATTTCTGGCCTAGTTAGCATGTTTTCAAAGTTCTTACTAGGACTCTCTTGGCAATTATCAAGTATCTATATTGAACTGAAGAGGAATTTTACAAGAGAAAAGCAGCAGATGTTCACTTTTCCTGAAAAGTCTTTTAAGATTTGCTAAGAGAGGAAAAAAACCCCACCAACTTGTTGCAAAAATGTGTTAACACTAAGGTCTAAATATCCAAAATACATCTGAACTCCCATCCATGGAATAAACACTCCTTGGTTTGACATACAGCACGTCAATTATTAGCCTCAGATTCTTCTGTTTGTCCTCAAAAATTACCTAGCGCAGAGCACTACAGCGTCTTTCATGCAATAAGATCTCTTTGTAAGACCCACCCATTCTGACAAGATACTTATTTGCTGGGTCTTGTGAAATGTCACCAGCATTTTCTGATACATTTTGTAAGAAGTAAATTAAGATCCAAAAAAACATATTCTCAGGAAAAACTCACAGCAAGCCAGCCTTATCCTCAAAAGTCACTGAAAGAGGTGAAAAACCACTTAGCTTACAATAACTACCACTTCAGACGGCACTGCTCACATGATTCCCATTCAGACTTCTTTCTCTGCTCCATGAGTACGTATTTTATGGTCATTGAATCTATGCCTTTATCCTTCTCCATTTGAAAACACAAAGGATAGAATAAACTCAACCATCCCTTAGTTTATGTTGACAATACAAACTATCTCAAAATGACAAAGGAAAATGGACTGTGAAATCCATGAGAACAGTTATGTTTTCAAGAGACAGTTAGCAAAAAATATGAAACTGGTCTTTCTCATTTAAGTGCTTATCATCATGGAACACAGTTGCTTATATCAGAAAGCTGGAAGGGATCACAGTTTCACTTCCTCTAAACCCCAATCACTGAACTTCCTTGAGTTTCCCTTATAAAGACAATTAATTTGCACTGGTTACATTTTATTTTAAAGAAGTATTTCTAGTCTTGTGCTGAAACATGAGGATACATAGAATTTATTTGCTAGTTTGTTCCAGGAGAAGGGGGAAGGCTGGAAAAAGATTGTGATTAAAGAAAAAGTTATCATTATGCAGAAGCTTTGCCAAATTCTCCAAGCACCCTTTGCAGCACCCAAAGGCATGTTTCATTTGTTTCAGACACCGAGAATTCTATCATTTCTCTGTTAAATCCATAGAAACTTTTCTACATCTTGATTTTGGTTTGATGATCACATTTTGAGTGAAGCTCCTGACAATAGAAAGTGACAAACAGCATTAACTAAGGGGAAAATCTTCCTCCCATATAATTTAAATACCTCAGGAACTTTCTCCCAAAGCATGTTTCTTATTGGTTGAATATTTATATACCATCTGTACTTAAACCAGACATGTCCTCAGAAGCAGCATGATGCCAGGTTTACACAAAGTCACTGTCACTTGGAGCTTGCCTCAGATATTTAACTGGTACCAAATCTTCATAAATTTTCATTCACAACTGGAAACAGTAAAACTATCAGGCACAAAAGCCTAAAGAATGTCCAGTAATACTTGATCTCTGACACTTTCACCGTAATACCAAGGGAATCAGACACGCTTCTTAAACAGTCATAAAGACATTCAGCTGTCTGAATCCAGCAGTGGTGATGCTGTGCTGAATGAGGATTTGCTGTGTGAAACACTGCTCCTCACTGGTACCAGCTGTGGCTTGGTGACAAACTTTGTTCTTCTCTAGGTTCACATATCCTCAGGGGAAGGCATTCGGTTCTTGAATGTAAAAGCGTTTGAAGCTGATTTTACCTGCTCAGGCGAGAGAAAAACATACGCCCGAGTCCCAAGGCAATGGACACCAAAGACAGCATGACTGGAATTTTGCAGATATCTCATGAAATTGAGTGATAGGAGGGCATTTTCTGAGAAAGAAAAATTCTGAAACTTTCAGGTTGAAAGAGAAAATTGAGAAAGGTTTGACCAAGGTTGTCAGGTTAGGGCCGAGAGACACATTGGCCATTATTTACTTCTTTCCTTTGAAAGATTTAGAAAAAAGAGGAAGAGGATAATTGTATGAGAACAAAATAGCGGGATAGCAGCACAGGGAATAACATCAAGAGGAGTACAGAGCTTTGCTTCATCTGTCAGTAAAATAGGCTGTCAACAGGAATCCAGCTGGCACTCGGGGGTCTGTCGGGGCAAGTACTGCTTAGGTGAGCAGGTTACGACCGTCCTGTGTTGGTTACACAACCCATGCAAGTTAATGCTGAGATTAATGGGAATGTTTACAGCTCTCGTAGCTATTGCTGTAGTCCTTTTAGTCTACCATCTCAAATAACTGTCACTGAATTGTTCATTACCTACTTATAACTTACGAGTATAAGGGCTAGAAAACTTTGGGTTTGTTTCCAAGCAAAGCTTCAGTCTGAAATAGAAGTAGTTATTTCATGAACTCTGGTTTGGAGAAAACCTGGAGGCACCCAATATGAGGTAAAAGCCTAAAAAAGCCCAAATCCATGAAGCTTTACCAGGATAGCAGCAGTTATGAGGTTTGGGTAAAGCTTGGGGAAGGGAGCTCAAGTAACACCATTTCATCTCAAAAGAAAGTATCTCCCTCCTCCCCCCAAATCCATCCCACATACATTGAGTAATTAATATATAGGAGTTAAAGTGAAAGATCCTTAATTATACCATTTGGAATATGAGACCTATTCACCATAGTGTAATATTCCTCCTCTTTTTTTTTTTTTTGCCCCTCAACTCTTTATAGATAAAAGATACTTGCTTTTTAATTATCTGTCAGGTGAGAAGCAGAACACAGGGATAAAGATTACTTCAGTAGGTATTTGAACAGTTATTATTTTACCCATCTATCAGGAAAGCCCAAGATTACATCTGCACCAGTGGTCTCCTTATTGACTCATGCCGAACAGACTAATGGGCAATTCCGGGCTTTCTCAGGCTGTAGAAAAGGATGTTTTAGCTGCATGCTGGTACATGGTACACAGGACACAGCCTTCCACTATTAACAGCCAAGTTTCACTGGCTTTGTAACTTGGTTCAGAACATGCAATGTCAATACACACTGCAGTGTACAGAGTACAGAACTGACAGGGCAGCCTCTGATTGCCGAGTCTGTGCCCAGAGTTTGTTTTCATTCAACGTTTTCTCCATGGACATGTAGTACTGCATGTTTAAATATTATTCGTAACAAAGGATGAATATGAAAAGCAACTTTAAAAATACTGATAAAAAGGAACAAAACGTTTCAATAAAGGTCATAAAAATGTTTTGATGTACAGTTTTTCATTATTACACCTAACATGTAAAGCACCTTCAATTTAAAAATTATCAAAAAAATAAAAAAACCTATACAAATAAATAAATAAATAAAGCTGTTGACCAACCTTTATGTCTATGTGATCCATCCATGTCAGAAAACTCAATATGATTTTCATCAGCCCAATACAGTCTGTGGTTGACATAATCTATTGTAAGAGCCATAGGTCTAGATATCTGCGTTTCTATGACAACTGTTTGACTGGAGCCATCCATACCAACACGACCAATGTGAGGATACTCACAGCAGTCAATCCAGTACAAGTACCTATAAAAAAACCCAGAGATGCAAAAATAATAACAACAAATAATTTATTTAGTTAGTTGATATCAAGAATAAATCTACAATGTTTCCATTTTCCAGACAGATTTTTTGACTTTCCTAGATTGGTCTGTAAACGACTGTGATAATGAGTTTTAGGAGAGGCCTCATGTTAGCTGTGAGTTCATCAAATTCACTATGGACTAGTAAAAAATGCAAATTAATTGCTTAGTCTTGGTATCTTAGAGTTTTAAGTACACCCAGACTGTACTTTGTGAATCTCTAGTTCCAAAGCATTACAAGAGCTTCTTGCATAAGGCCTTAAAAATTATTAAAGCACTGAGGAAGTCTGTTGGTAAGCTGAGTGGCCGTTTTCTCTTAAATATGCTGTTTAGACACAATACCAAACATGTTTTTCAAAGAAAGAGGAAAAAGTCCTGTTATTTTGTACATGGATACATGTTGCTGCTGTTGTATGCCATTACTCAGAACCTCAGAACAGATCTTACCAGCTGAGAAACTGATATGCCTCTACTCTACAGGTTTTGGACAGGCTCTCAAAAAACCACAGACGCGGCTTTTATGCTTAATAGACACCTAGATCAGTATTTGTGTGCAGGAGAAAATGGTGGCCCTAAGAGCAGCTACAGGTATCCTACAAAACACAGGTACAATACATTGGCACTGAGCCTGCTGCACTAAGCAGGAGACAAAGGTAACTTTCTCCACAGACTCAAACAAAAAACAACAACTTTGGAATCTTATCATTACTGTTGCATGGCATCAGCAACAGTCAGTAGAGCATTCCACATTTATGAGAAAAAACCTAGAGATGCAATTAATACTGTTTAAAACAATAACTCTGAATCTGAAATGCAAACACAGTTGTTATTTCCAGCAGCTATCCACATTAAAATAAACAAACAAGCAAACAGATATGCTAATTTAAAAACAAAACAACACCACAACAAGCAAAATAAACAAAAAAACCCACCACAACACGAAAACCCAAAAAAGCACTTGGCCTCTGAAAGCTAAGTCTGTACACATGCTGTGCACTGAGCAGGAGCACAGTAAGTTTATTACACCTGCGTATACCTAAAACTTCCTGGAAGACTAGGATTCTCTGTACAAACTTTGTAGAGCTGATTTTTGACGTACACTGGGAACACATCCTGGATGTCCAGCCAACCAGAGGGAGATGCCATGTATTGGTATCTACAGTTAAAAAAATGTCTACATACTCCTGGCCCAATTTCATAGGGAAGAAAGGGTACAAGAAAACCCAACAATAATTCTCAGAGAAAATAGCTTTTCTCTTTAAAATAGTAAAATAGATAGACTACATTTCTTAGCTAGGAAATACACTGCTTTTCTTTGTTTCAGTCAAGTCCAGACCAACTTGAGAATCCTGTCACAGACACCTGAGATGATTACTTGAGCCTTAGGATTTAGAGATGGAATAGAATCATTCATTTGACACGATACTCTAAGAGTGTTACAAGACACTACAATAGCTGTATTTATCCAATTTATGTAGAGGCACCCTAACGTTTCACAGAATAGAAGGCAATATGGAATTCAGAGCTGAAACAACATAGGGCAAACTTTCCATAGTCTGTATTTTACTTATTCAGGGACTAGATAATAATTTTAGTCTGTGTAATTCAGAAGTTTTATTTTTCTTAAAAATTATATGCAGCATAAACATTCATTTAAGAGAATAGATTTGGTTATGGTTAGAAAGTATCTGTTTAAATAAAGCAATAAAGAAAATAAATAAAAGATTTATTTTCTTTCTTTTTAAGATTCATAGTATAAGGTTAATTTTATCAAGGACACCAATTTTATGGGAAAAATATTAATCTTGGATATTGTTTTTTACAGTTAAAATTTTCTATCATTCCTATAAATCCCACAGCAGTCAAAAATGCTCAGAAGTGAGCTCAGAATCCGACTACAGATTTTTATGAATACATTATAAATAATGTAATAATTAAAAAATTATCAGTTAGTTACCAATGAACAAATCACCAACTAGGTAGTTCTCACTTCTTATCATTGTCCTTACAATAAATTTTTCAAGCATATTGCTAATTTCAAAGTCTTGAAAACTAAAGTTAGAAGCTAATTATCCTAAAATAAACCCCTAGATAAATGTATGCTAATAATTATTCAGTCCAATTATTAGACCTGCGTGACAATAAAATATTTTACAGCGTGAAGAAGGAAAAACTATCTCCATATTATGCAGGATTAAACATTTTCAATCTTAGATTAACATGTAAAAACTGTAAGAAAAAAAAGTTTTCAAATATGTGGTAAGTGAATGCCCTAAATTAGTTTGAAAACCAGTAAACACAGAAAAGACTGTGTTATGTACTCATAAGACAGTTCAGTTAATAAATGAAACAAGACATAAGTTTGTATTATTTTCCATATAAAATGAACTTTTTGTTACTTAGAAACACACACAAAAAAAAAAAAGATAGGGATATTTTTAAAATTTCTGCTCTTTCCTCCTGCTAAAAGAAAACATTTGCAGAGTAGTAAATATAACAAAACATGGTTTAGTACCTCCATTCATCTTTCTATTATACCAATTTGATATATAATGATGAGGTAAGAAGCAATGGTAATGTATTTTAGACCACTGATGTTCAGTGTAGATGAAAGTCAGATAATAAAAAAACTAAGCAGTGTATCCTATTTTTTTAATTAAAATATTTAAATATAAAACTAGAATTTAATATGAATTATTGCAAAATGATTGCTTCATACCCAGCTTGAGGATCCAAGGACAGATCTCTAGGAAACTTCACCCTTTTGCTCACAAGGACAGTGGGGTATAAGCCATTGAGTTTAGACACCTCAATAATTCTCTTTTCCGTATCAGACCAATAAAGATTCTTCCCAATCCAATCAACAGCCAGTGCATTGGGAACAGCTGTGTTGTGGACTACCTAGAAAAAAAAATTACTTAAATTATTCATCTAAATACTGGGAAAAGGAACAACAATTCAAGAGTTAATAATACCAGAATATGGAGAGGTTGGATGTATGATACAGTGACACAGACCATGGGAAAAAACAGGGATTATTCCCTGTTATACGCTGACACTTCTGTAGTAATGATACTTCTGAAGTCACTAGGGCAATATGACACTTTCCGTAGAGTAAGGGAGCATGAAGTAAATAGTGAATTTCCAACTTCTCTGCATTATGCACTGAATTTTAAGAATTTTTTCCTTTCATTTTAAATCTTAAGTTTCTAATTTTCCTATTGTATTAATTAAAAAAAAAACCAACAATAAAACACAAAAAAACCCCAGACTCTTTTTCCCTTGACTTTTCCATTCATTTTCCCCAGAACAGAATGGAGATGAGGCTTTTCTCCCCGTAGCATGCCCTCAAACATGTCTTATTAGCTCCCCATTTCTCTCACCCATCTACATTGGCATATATTTCATTTTAGTATCATAGTTGTGCCATATGTCGTAATGACAGATAGACCATGAGGGCACTCAACTCAGGCAAACAGAAAAAGATTACCAAGTTGGTAAGTAAATACTGTGCTCTTATTTCCAATATTCATGTGGCAGATGAAAGAGAAACTTTGTAAGAATTAGTTAAATTTCAGAATGTATTACATTATTAAGGAATAAAGTAAGAGACAGGAGCAATTTAGTGACCTACTGGAAAGCCTACGCTCTACTGACAGGGACGTGTTATGCTCAAGGTTTTTGATTACTAGATTAATTTTGAGACTTGAACAAACACCTCTAGATATACATGATTACAAAACTTATATGACTGTATGACTCAATCTTGCTTGGATGGGAGTACTTCATGTTAAGTGTTGAGTGACATTTGAATATTTCCAATCATTATAGGCCAACTTCTTCTAGACTTTAAGTCTTAACTGGAATAGAATTCTTTTCTGACCTATTCTATTCTGATTAGGTCTGTGCTACTAGAACTTAATTAAAAAAAAAAAAGTCAGAGAACAATACTTGAAAATATTGGAGATTTCTTAAGTAGTAATAATGGGTTTATTACTGCAGTGTACTTTCTAATTTAGCATCATCTTCAACACTAAAAGCATGTGCACTGGAGTATAAACTTTACATGTAAACCTGATTATGTATAACTGAATGTGTTATTTTTAATTTTACTTACCATTTGAAGATACTGAAAAGCCTTCAAGATAAGAAGGGATACTGTGAGATAATTTAAACCAATTTTATAGTTATGAATATGTAAAAGCACTCTTTAAAGTTATTACGTTATTTATAACCTTATAAAAATCTTTTTAAAATTAAATCTAGGCATGCACTGACTTTTTAATATGAAGAAAATATTTTCTTAGAATCACAGAATGGTTTGGGTTGGAAGGGACCTTAAAGATCATCTAGTTCCAACTCCCCTGCCATGGGCAGGGACACCTTCCACTAGACCAGGTTGCTCCAAGCCTCATCCAGCCTGGCCTTGAACACTTCCAGGGATGGGGCATCCACAACATCTCTGGGCAACCTGTCCCAGTGCCTCACCACCCTCTCCAGGAAGAACTTCTTCCAGATACCTCATCTAAACCTCCCCACTTTCAACTTAAACCCATCCCCCCTTGTCCTGTCACTACAGGCCCTTGTAAAAAGTCCCCCCCAGCTTCCTTGTAGCCCCTTCCGGTACTGGAAGGCTGCAATAAGGTCTCCCTGGAGCCTTCTCCTCTCCAGGCTGAACAAGCCCAACTCTCTCAGCCTTTAATCATAGGAGAGGTGCTCCAGCCCTCTGTATTTTCTAACGCCTTACCACTACCAGCTACACTGTTTTATAAATGTGTAATTGCAGAAACTGCTGCACTGTAACATGGGACATTCCAAGTAGGAAAGGACAGCTCTGCTAACTTGTATAGTGGTTTAGCTACACTATCTAGAAGCATCAACCAAAGTAATTAGTCTCTCTTTTGTGATGACTTTTCCTTTGGAGGATCACTAAGCTTATTCCAGTCCCTGACATCACCAGCGTGACATTTAATGTACACAACTCGGCTTACTACAGCATTTTCCAACAACAGATTTCATTGCAAACTACAATACTACACATAAACCACTATGTTAATATATGAACATATTTATTCTAAAAACTTGTTGCTTCAATTGTATAAATATCCCCGTGTTCAGATGTAGAAGATAAATGAGATGCCATCAGGTTTCCCAGAACAAGAAACCTACAGTTGGTATGCTGAGAAGATGTTATCTTTTAAAGAGAAATCCTAGGCAATATATCAAACAGTATCATTTACACTAATGGTATAGTTATTTATAGTAAATAGTAAAAGAAGAAGTATGAAGGGTAGGAAATAAAACAAGAAATTCATACCTCAAGGGAAAAGATTGACAACCATAAAACCCCTCTTTCATGACAAAATAAAAAAATATAATTTTTAAAAAGATTTACTGGGAAACTAATTATTTGTAACATTTATTATTAAATATGTGCTATGGGAACCTGTTAAAATGTGAGTCAAAGAGACAAAGTTATCATTTGGCACTGGATAAAAGACTACTGACAATATCAGACAGCTACAGGATATATTTCTTGATAAGTTTTTGTACACATTTTTCAGTTTCAGAGGCCAAATCTTGTCCAAGTTACCAGCAAAACCCCTGAATATTCTTATGAAAATGAAATGCACTTATTTTCACAAGTTTTGCTTTGAACTTGGCACCTATCTGAATAAAATCTCCATCATCTACAGAATGACCCTCATTCTATAAACTGCAATATGTTAATAAAGGAAAAAGAAATACCCTCCATGCTCCAAAACCTTTTTTTTTGTTCATGTATCTGAAACCTTTCCTTAAAAGTCTGAACTATTGTTACATCATTTGAAAGAAATAGGCGTGGTTTTTTTATACCCTCCCACCTGGCAATTTCAACTTTTTTGACCGGGAAAAATGCATTGTTCTCCTTGAAATAGTTAAAAGTAGAAAGAAAAAGTCTGGGGTCATACCCAGTCCTGAAAACATTCCCTAAAATAACAAAATACAGATTCATCTGGGATGAACAAGCAGCTGAATAGGATGCTCTGTAAAATGTTTAAAGAAAATAAGATTCAAGGATTTCATGGATTGTGAACCCAACACTTGCCTGACTCTTCTTTTTGCCAGAAGGAGTCTTTGCAGGGACTCGCAAGAACTTTTGAGGGCATGCGGGATTTTAGTTTTATCCCAATGGAATCAGAGTGCCGTAACTTATGCTCATCCTCATTTTTTAAGTTCTAAAAACAAGTCTGTGTGTGAAGGATGGAAACAAAGTTCACTGTTGCCAGTCAGTTTCAAAGCTTAACTCTCAACAAGACTAAAGTCGGCGCTCTGCGGCTGTGTCAATCCACGTACTAAGCTGCAAATGAAAAATAGGAATCTTTCCTCTTTGCATACTTCACTGGCCTACAATGAGGTAACAAAATTCACAGGATACGTGACTGCTCATTTTTTCTATGTTTAAGGAGGTCAGACACCAGAGAATAAGCAAAGAAGAATTCCTTACTGCTTATCACTAATTCTGGAAAAATGTTCACGTAAATCAACAAATGTGCTTAATAGTGGATTTGTGAACTTATCCCACTACAGAGGCAAAACAGACTGGCTGTGCAGAAACAGGAGCATGGTTTTACCCTGGATTATTCAAGCCAAAGACATTGAGTAATTTTCATCATCAGCGTAATCGAGGCAAGACAAAAATGAATTGAAGACCATGGAAAATTGTATACGAAGAAATAATATATCAGTGTATTTACATAGCTTACACATAATTATACCCCTTTTTGTTTTGGTGACCTGTAAGCCACACTAAACTGCCAATTCAGTCAAATGTCAACTAAGTCATAAGGAGTTTAGCTCATAAATAGGTCTCTCTTAGTCCCTATCTCTACTTCAAATAAGACACAGATGTAATTAAATTTTACTAGGACTTGCTAGCTCATGATGTGTTTGTACGCATATACCAAACCCTCATAATCTGGGTGAAATGCATGAAGCATTTCCCAAAATTCTCAAAAAATATAATTCTAGCAGTGGCATTATTAATCCCCGTTTACCTTGATGTCACTTCCATTTAAACACATTCTGTTTATGCGGCTGCCATTTGGTCTGCTGGAATCGATCCAGTAGATGAACTCATCTCTATAGTCAAAGTCTATTGCAATCACATTGTTCAGCCCCTAAAAACAGAAAAATAAAATAGTCCACTCATTCAAAATTTTGAATACAAGCAGTTGGACAGCATTCAGAATGAAAAAAAACATTGCAGAGAGTATTCAGAATGCTTTATTTTACTGACTGTATATTCTTGAAGTACTTCTCTCATTTTTCCATACATCTAAACAATCAGAACAATATAAAAATTGTAACAGAAATAAATATGGCAACACAGAACCATCTCACTTCATAAATGCAGATGATGTATGAAACTAAATGAAGCTTCTGTGGTTTTCACTTATATTATCAAAATGAACCTTAACAATAAATACTTTAAGGTTTGTTAGATTTCTCCGTTAATTACTACATTTGGCATTGCTTTGCAAAAAAGAATACACCAATTTTAGAACAATAAACTCAGAAATAGCACATAATTTACTATCTTTCATTGACATTTCATTCTTAATTTAACTTAACAAAGAATTAAAAACCATGATGTTCAAAAAAGCATTAATTTTAATTCCTGAATAAGGAAGTTTTCAACTCTTAAGTGCTAGATTATAGATGCTGTGGGTATATGTATATATACACACAGATGTACTATAAACAGAGTGTGAAAGTTAGAGATCCAGCAGGCATCTGGAAGTCTCCTATGGCTCCAATTGCTAAAACAATACATTGTCAGAATGAGCGGTGATCATATTTGAGGTGCTCCTTTAGGCTGGCAAGAGGAGTCATATAATAACGGCTTTTCATCCCAAAAGGCAGATAACAAAGAGAGGTATTGCATTCAGATGATAGCTCCTACTTTCTTATCTGAGAATAGAAAAGCCTTGCTCCAGAATCTGCTTAACATTCTGGCATGTTGTGAAATCACAGTTATTCTTAATATGCAAAGACGATGCTATCAATCACAGATGGAGCAGCAGTGGTAAAAAGAACGGGTGCGTTTTGCACTCCTTTTAAAACCACAAGATCATTTAATCCATTCTGTTATCAGCCCAATGACATTCTACTCTCAGGGAGGTTTACCTCCCTTGTAATGTAATTCATAGTTGTAGAGGGGAAGTGCTGGACTAGCCCACTCTAAAATAAATAATTAAATAATATTTAATTGAACAGAAAGGGAGACATCGCTTATCTGCCAACTGCTACAGACTAATACTAAAAATCTATCTTTTTGGATCAAAGTGTAGATAAAAAGTCTGATTAGGCTGCACAAACCATTGTTAAAAAAAAGCCTGAAAGCATACAGTGTTGGAGGACCACTCATTTTCAAAAATCACATAACCATGCAGTGTTTTAACAAAATCAACTGCAGCTGTCAGTTATAACTGTGCTGCAAAACACCCTTCCTGCCTCTTTTTCTACTCCTAGTATAAATGCACCTGCAGATAACCCCCACCACAAATTCTGAACAAAGAGAGACAAAGGGTGGATGAATACAAAAGACTATCATGAATTTATAACATCCTAGAAATCCAGGCCACTAATCTGTGAAAAATTAGCCTTATATCTACATATTCTACAACACTGATAAAGTTTGTTAAGCTGCCAGACTAATAGAGTTGACTGCCTGCAAGTCTGGTCTCAAGTGTTTTATTTTGGGTCAGTTTAGTTCCAATATTTACTAGAACATCAACTGCAGGTAAACGTATTTCTATATGTGTGCAATAGAGTTCTCTGTCCAGACATCATCTCCTTTTCATGACCTACATGTCCCTTTTAGGCCCTCCTAGCATAATTCTTTGTAATTTCTCATGTAATCTGCTTTTAGTAGGAATAGGGAAGCTTTCAGATGGCATCAGCTGCACTGGTTTCTCATCTTAAACCTGTGGTTCTGTTTCTGTTACACACAGCACAGGGTATCTGAGGCCACAATTTGCATTATCCCAGGCCGTGATTTGCATTCCCTTGGTGCCCTAATTAAAAAAAAATGCAGGTAAAAATCACAAATAATGACGAGAAGGATTCTCTCTGTCTACTCTGTCTATGGGAACCTTTAGAACTGTGGTGAGTAGGAGTGAAGGAAGTGGAAGGTAAAGAACATACGTGAGACAATTGTACTGTTTATGTATATTGGGAAAAAAAAAAGAGAGGAAAAAGCTGGCACGTAACAACTCAGAGAAGACTGAATGAGTTCCTGCTTTCAGCTCCTTTACTCTGAGTTTACATGAACAATTGTTAGAATGGCAAAGCGCAGATGAAATACACAGAGAAGGGTGGGTTTGCTCATTTGATAGAGCAGCTCTTGTATTTTCCTTCATCTGGTACATGTCTAAAAAGAGATGATCCATCATAACATTACAAGGACAAAAAGATGTCCTTATGAGAAAGACAGCCCACCTGTTCTGCTGGTACAGCTCCCTCTTTTGCTCTCAAATCTGGATGCTTTTAAAAATGATGTATTTGTAGGATCAAAGGCCAGTAGGTTCAGTAGCAGAGGCATTTATTAGACTAGTAAATTAATGTGATATGGAAAACACAGATTCTCTTCAATGGCTGGAGCAACACAGTCTCTAATGTACTGAAGAGAAGCCCATTAAAATCAAGAATGATGAAGCTCCAAGACAGCCTGTCAGCACCAACCATAAAGAAAATATACTGTTGCTCCCCTCCTTGCAGAGGCTTCTATTAACAGATATACCAGCAAAAGAGGAGAGAGGCAGTGAGATGTAAATGAGAAGTAGTCCAAAGGATTTCAGAAGAACAGACAGACTTCAACATAATGCTTGCTATGCTTAAATAAAGTCAATGTTTAATGCAAGATGGTTAATTTGGTAAATACTGTTGTGAAGACCTGAGCACCTCTCTTGTGACAGTAAGATACACAGCTTACTGACACAAGTCACAACAAGCCTAGTGCTATTGACTGGCATAACTGCTTTTTCTCGTCTTTCTGCAACTGATTAATTAGTACTCAAAGAAATAGATGTTTTTATCAAAACATATTTGGATCTCTAATCTATGGTAAGTAACTACACTTAGGTGAAGCATAGAAGCAGAGCAGAAACTGCTAAAAATGACAGCTCTGTACTTACTGGATGACTTTGTTTTTGCAGTTTTTTAAAAATGAGGGGGTTTTCCCTGTTATAATAATTTAGAGTAATTATTAAAAAACTTTGATTTAGCCAAAGTTATATGTTTATTTATTTTAATATTGTAAATATTTGAATTGTCTGTCTAAATAAAAAAATAGATTTGGATTATGACAGTAAGTAGCCCAATTTTTTTTTTTTTAACTAAAATATAGAAATTGTGCAAAATATTGTGATGGAAGAGGTTCACAAATAACAATTTTTTTAGTACATCAGAATGACTGACAAAACAACTGCCTGAGCTTTAATTGTGTCAAATTCAGATGAAATAGTCAATTCAAAATATTATAAAAATATTATAAAAACTCTGAAGATACTGCAGTTGTTGTATGGTGCATACAATGCCAATTGATGTTTGTGTCAGTTGTACACTTTAGCAAAGAATGAAAGTTAAACTTCGAGCACGGTACTATGATTATACCTGTTTCAACAAAGTGTAGTTGGATCCATCAGTGCTAATTTTTCTTATCTCATGATGATCAGCCAGAATTAAGAAAGGTTCCTCATCTAAACCCCGGGAGAAAGAATATATTAGACTAGCTTTTACGTTAATTTATGGAAAATCAGGAATACAATGCTGAAATACAGATGGCTTGAAAATAAATGTTACATGCTCTGATCAATGTGATGGATTAAAGAAATATTTAAAACATTCAAATGTTCCAAGAAAGATCAATGATGCAGTATAAAAATGAACAAAGCAATCAATTAGTATATCTTTCAATGTAATTTACTTTTTTTGCCTTTGTAATATGGGAACCATACTGTATGTTTTGCTAATTTAATGTCAGAGATTAAATTTAATGTATTTCATACCACTAGTTTGAATTTCAACATTTTCAAATTATCAATAGGACTATGATTTGTTATGGTTGCAAACCAAGCACGTTTTGACCACTGCTTTTTGAGATTTCAATACGCTGAACAGTATAGACAAAGAAACAGCTGTTTGGACAAACCTTGATTGTCTGATGTTGAACTGAAGCCAGATTTGGGTTTTTTTACTCCTGATTTTCTAGTTTATCAAAAAATATTCCTTTAGATACCCAATCATGCCATCGCTTACTTTGAAACACCTCTGACACTGGCATACATAACAGTAAAAATAACCATATACTTTTTAAAAAGCTGTCCTTATTTTACTTCTATTAAAAGATATTAGATGAAATGAACTAAAAAAGAAAAAAAATACTAATAACGATTGAAAAGGTATTTAATATTTGTATCTACTGCTCATACATTCTGGAATGTAATGTGTTGCCCAACCTACTCAGCTGTTGTACTGGATACACTGAACCACCTCGCTTGCGTTTCCCCTTCAACTCTACATTCTCTAGTTCCTACGGAAATGGTCCAAGGCATCATCCTCAGCACTGACTACAAGTGGTTTACGGAGAATGGCTGGAGTGATCTGCTCTGTTGTAAAGAGTTCATGGCAATTTATGCAAGAAATCAGCATGAGGCCAAACATTCACATGTTGGCAACTCCTTGCATCACACCCATCCTTGCCACAGCACCCACAGCTTTGTCACCATCACTTTTTGAGTTTGATATATTACAACTCTAATACACTGTACTATCATGTGTTCCAGCTCCCCTTGTCATTTGAGTCACATACGTCATCTAAACTTGCAAGTGGCCTGTAAAGTGCGAGGTAAGAAGAGTACAGCAAAATCCAGATCCTGTTTTTTTGCCCATTCTTGTGTTTCCCCTCCTTACTCAGAGAACCACCCAAGACAGAAACATGAGGCAGACAGAGGTTCCAGTCTTCTTGTCATTTAGAAAGAAAACAAGAGCTTTTTGATATTTAAAAACAAACCACAAACAACTTTGTGCAAGACTGGAACGAGGAGAAGTCTGCTCAAGCTGAAGGTTGCCTGCGCTATTAAGGAAACCCAGCAGAACGCAGTAATGGGTTTTTTGTTTCCTTCCTGTTGATATTTTGCTCTCACTTTCACTGATCTAGAGAATTCTACTCACTGAAACACGTAAAAATAATATCAGTGTCATTGACAGAAGGGGAGGAAATAACCAGCGTTCTTATATATCGTGCATTTGCTGTATATTATGTATAAAACTGTTGGAATAGGAATAATGGATTTTGCAATTTCTATTATTTTTTCTTTTTCCTCCTTTTCATACTGGGGAATTTGAAGTACATTCTAATATTCTAAAGTTAATGAAATAAAAGAGCAGAAGTCTTTCAAACACTTATCAAACATACCATTATCATGTGACTCAGAAGTAGAATTAAGTGATGCATTTTAGCTTTCCTACCAAAGTCACTAATTAAGGTTTTCATGATGCCCTGTAAATGTGCACTAAAAATGATTTAAGCACAATACATAGTAAAATAGAACTTATTATTACATACAGACATTGAATCACATTCCTATTGTTTACTGAAGAAGTGTGCTTCAAAGTAACTCTGACTTGCACAGCAGGGTAACATGGACATTGCTATAGGATTTCACAAATTATTTTGGATACAGCTGGGGATTAAAGGGGGTAAAAAAAAAAAAGTGATACCTGAAAGGGATTTGCAGCCATTTAGGTTATCAGGCTGTATTTCATACCCATCTGCACACAAGCATTTGTAGGTTCCATATGTATTGATGCATTGTTGGCTACAGGGAAATCCAGATGTGCATTCATCAATATCTATACATGTTTTGCCATCATCCTTAAGCAGGAATCCAGGCCAGCATTTGCACTGGGAAAGGAAAACAAATACATTCATTTTTTATTACTCATTGATTCTGTTTGTTAACCTTTATACTTTCTTTTGAATATATGTATAAACTACTTTATGTAGTCTCATTTTTTTAAGTAACATCTTAATTACATTGCTATTTATACTGTTTACAGCCAGAATTGCCTCATTTATTATCAACTATTACTGATGTGATCTTAAGTACCATCCGCTCCCAAATAACACTGTAGAATGTGTAATTATTTTTTCTTCTTTAACAAAGAACATAAATGGCACCTTTTCCAACATATGGAGAGGATTCTTCCATGAAAATAATGATAGACAGCCCCTTTGGTGTTCTTTGTTTTCATGTACATGTGCTTTTTGGTAAAGATACACAGTTTTAAACAATTTTTCTTGAAGCATTAATACCATCTAGCATTCTCTCTGACAAATACAAAATGTGAATGAGAACCCCTGAAGTTAAGTTCTACTGGGGTCTGATGTTCGCTGTGGCAGGCTTATCACATGCAATGTGAGCGATGCAAAATACAACTGGGTAGAGGGGTTTTGAAACAGGATCGCAGTTTTATCCATGGAAAACGTGGGAGTCATTTTCCCTCCTCTCTGTAATAGTCTCTGCAGAGACACACAACATGCTCTCTTCACAACGATGCTCTTTCGACAAGGATTTTGCTGTACCCAACCTACTCTCCAGATCTCTAGTCTATGGCCTCCTGCCTAGGACATGGTTTCAGCAGTTTGAATAACTTTAGAGCTAAGGCATGTTGGACGGATTTTATTTAGTTCTCAGTGGGACAATACTGTATTAAAGCCATAAAACCTTTAGGCGTGCAGTTAGGTTACTTCAGAATTAAAACCCTGAAAAAACACCTCTCTTCTACTCTCAGCTTCCCTGTAGAGGTCAGTGCAGTCAGTGACTAGGGTTTACATAATACCCAAGAAGTACTTCCCCTCTACATCTCAAAGCCAAAGGGCAGATTTAGGTCATTCAGAAAACACCATCACAAGGAGACAACTAGAAGTTTTAACTCTGCAACTATGGCAACTATACTTTGTTTAAATATTTCTGTGTCTTTGACTTAGAAAAAAAATGGAGAAAACTGCTCTTCCTGCTATTCACTTCTGTGCGTTTCCCTTTTTCAAAGCTGGTTTTCAGCATTCTGTATATGTGAGTATGATTAGTTATGTTTAAAGCATTGTAAAGCATTTTTTTCCCATAGGTTTAAAGCATGTATGGTCCCTTTTTTTTTTTTAATACAATTTGCTATTCTTTGTTTATAGGAAGTAAAAATTTGAATGTTCTTACTATGGTACATAAGCTACTTCATTACAAGGAAGTACAATACACTGCAGTTTTATTATAATCACATAGCACTTAAGAAACAGTTAAGAATTAACAATTAGCATTATATTACACCACATTTTGCAATTACTCACCTTGTACCCAACAGGAAGATCCTGACAATCTTGAGAACAGCCACTAACTTTCTTACTAAGACATTCATTAACGTGGCAGTTTTTCTCATCAGATCCATCACTACAATCTTCTTTATTATCACAAATATTGCTTTGGGGAATACACTTGCCATTTTTGCACATAAAAAAAGAACTGTTACATGACTGCTCTGAAAAACAAGAAAAGAGAACACAACTTTGTGTAGTCTATTAGTATCTGGAATTAATTTTCTCAGGGACCAGCTGCAACATGTGCATGAGGTGAAAAAATTGTTTATTAATTTAATTTCTTATTCATAGTATAATTATACATTTTACATTTCAGTGTATTTTTGTTGTGGTTTAACCCCAGTCAGCAAATAAGCACCACAGAGGCATTTGCTCACCTCCCCCCACCCCCGTGCAGTGGAATGGAGGAGAGAATCAGAGCAAAAGGTAAGAAAACTTGTGGGTTGAGATAACAACTACGTAATTGAAAATAAATTAAATCATGATACTAATAATATTACTAATAGTATGTAACATAAATACTACTAATAATAATCTGTAATGAAAAGAAGAACAATAGAAAACAAAACAAATGATAGAACCACTCAGCACCTGCCAACCAATGACCAGCCAGTTCCTGAGCTCCCAGAGCCAGACAGAGACCCAAGAGCCATACCCCCCTGGTCAACTCCCCCCAGCTTATATCCTGAGCATGATGTCCTATGGCATGAAACGCCCCTTTGGTCAGTTTGGGTCAGCTGTCCTGGCTTTGTCTCCTCCCAGGTTACTGTAAAGAAGCAGCTGGGAACACAGGGACAGCATCAGCAACTGTAAAAGTTCTTGGCTTGATATAAACATTGCGTGGCAAAAACTGAAAACATAAGCATGTTATCAAAATTTTTCTCAGCACAAAACCAAGACATAGCCTCATACTAGCTACTGTGAAGAGAATTAACTCTATCCCAGTCAAAACCAGCACACTTTCAAAGGCTTATTCCTCTCCTGGAAAATGTGTGAATACTGCAAGTTATTATTACGTCCTACACATCTGTTTTCATTTAATTGAAAATCCTCTACATTAGAACGATATTTTGTGCAGAGATAAACTTATTAAAACTTAAGCAGCATGGCTTCTCTCCCCTGTG